TGTAATATGGTAAACGTATGTGTCAGCTTAAAATTAAAAGGGAGCTAAAAATTTAATAAAATTTAATAATTTAATTTAACGTTTTTAATAAAACAGTTATTCCACTCGTGCTTGTTGGATATGAGATGATTATGGCCAACTTGGCGCTACGTGCCTCATTGGCTATTTATCATCTCATATCCAACGCGCGCTCGTGGAATAATTGTTAAATATTGTCCTCTTCTGCTTGCTCTTCTTGATAATGAAACCCTGCTGCTATATTTGCAGGTCTCCTGGCTGTGGACAGCAGGGAAAATGCTGATAGTGGTAAAGAGGGGACAACTAAAAGAACGGAAGAAGAAAGAAAGAGACAACAAAAAATCACAATAAGATCAGGAGTAATGAAAGCTCATATGTAGTGTTTATATTTATGGGAAAAAAAAAAGGATTCTCTCTAGCTTCATTGTCCATGGAAGGTCTGGGTAGGGGTTTCAAACTTTCTCTCAGTGATGTTATGGTTCTCAATAGGATTCATTGAGGTTTGACTGAGCAAAGATTGCTTAGGAATTAGGCCAGAGTGGAATAACCTGGATGTCCCAAGACTTCAGCAAAGTTTCCTCAATCCATTGTAATCAGTTGTTTGTCTCTACAGCAAGGTCTTTACCTCACACGAGAAGAAAGGAATAGACCTAGCAGTTTGCAGTCCATTCCATGATCCTGTGTTTACTTTCCATGCCCCTTTGTAGGACCATAGGATGAAAAGAGACTTCTGCCAGTCTCCTTGTCACTTTCAGGTTGTAACTGCATATAATCTACTGACTTCCTTGGAAAATTCACTGACCTTCACTGTGGTCATGTATAAATGACTTGACTCCTAGTACAAACTGAATTCCTGTATTAGTGGCGACTTTTGAAGAATATTAATTTTATTTGCAAGGAGGCTTTCATTTTTAGCGTTACGGTACGAGTGTTTCTTTGCCGGCGAAAAACTTTGAAGTCTTTATCGAAAAGAGCTGCTGTGAAGTCTGCAAAGGAAGTCTGCTTACACACCCCTCGCTGACTCTCTTCGCTCAGGCAAAGAAACAATCGTGCCGCAGCTTTGATGATGTGGGCCAGCACGCAGGCTGAAAAATGATTAATAAAAGGAACAAATGATTAATTCCGCTTCCTGCCGCAACAATGTTGGAAAAGGGTTTTTCCTCACATTCAGCGAGTCTGCACCAACTACACAACCTTTTATTACTGTAAAGCAGAAAATCCCAGTCGCGCTAATCAACAGGGCGGGTTTAACACCCTCGATCAAAAGACTATTACTCCACTTTCTCTCAAACAAAAATCGCTATATTTGGATAAAATTCACGTCGCAACTCAAACACGACGTTTATCAAAAATTATTAAGAGATCTGCTGAAAAGACCACCTCTTTTAAAACGGTTAAAAAAGTGTGTCGTATATTCCTGCAAAAAAAAAAAAAAGGTTTTACAGGACCACAGTACGTGGTGAGTTAGACGTTGCGCTTGTCTAGATTAAGATCAAGGTTAAACAAGTTATCTCAAAGGATTGCGATACTTGTTCCCGAAAGTCCAATAAACTTCTCTTGTACAAATGAATACGGTTTCATCATACGAGTTATTGCTGCATATCTCATCAGGGGCGGATCCAGGAATTTTTGATTGGGGGGTTCCAAACTTTGGTTCAGAAAGGACTGTTGGACCGAGGCAAATTACTTTTCCCCCACCCCCCCTCCCACCAGTCGAGGTTGTACGTTATATTCCTTGGCCGCTTACCGTTTACTTGGATTAATTAACAAAATCAGCCAGTTAAAAAGTGATATACGATCCTGTCGATGTAAGAATTTCAGTCTCAAATTTGTAAGCGTCAGGTCTGATGGGGGGGGGGGAATCCGGGCCCCCGGACCCTCTCCCTGGATCCGCCACTGCTCATATGAAACGCAGAGTTAAAGAAAAGGACTGATGTAGAACATTGATTCAAATAATGTTACGGTCTTACTGTGGTGTTTCTATAAATTTGTTTTAGTCTAAGACCTCCTGACGATCGAGAAGCGTCATGAATGTTCCTCATTCTATTCATAGGGGAACAGAGAAACAAGAGTAGGCAAGAGAACTGATGAAAATCGAACTAATTTGTTAGCGTGACTTGAAAAACACCCCGCGATGGAACGTATTGTTCAACTGCCCAATCAGAGGCTTCCTTATAGGGTGCTGAATTAAAGAATAATTTCCTATTGCCAGACCGGAGAGAAAATGCCTGGGAAAAATAATTCTGAAGATTTGAGTAGTTTTCAATCTAAGATACCGATGGGGCCATGATAATCGAATTCTGCGTTTCACTAGATAAAGGAGATAAATCTAGTTTTGAGAAGCCGAGCTGACCTTTGCCATGATTGCTTCCGCCATCGGTATACGCGTACATTGTTGATCTCGAGCGAAGGTAAGCTAATGCGTTCAACAGTCAACTAAAGTACATGTAATCTTGTAGTCAACATTTGAGCGGAACTCCAAATCATACGTAATTTTATTATATATGAAAAAGAAATGGGCCATGGAGCGCTTTCCATGATTTGAAGTCGGCCTTCCTTGACGACTTCGGTGCTTTAGTTATCTCGTAGAGAGATTTGTGATGGAACTGCTGTTTGGGTTTCATCTACCTCTCAGCTAATATTACTGAAAAAGGAAGTAATTCCACGAAAATTCTCTGCCTCAGTATATGTTTGTTGATTCTGCTATCAACTGGCTCGTAAAGGAAGCTGATTTATTCAGAACTGATGAAATGTTTGAACGCACTGTGGTATCCTTAAAATATTTGATGTTTCACCGAACCTGATCGTATTCATTTGCTCAATAACTTATATCTTGCGGGCATATATATATATGATGTATTCACTTCCGTTCAAACTCAATGATTATTTATAGATCGATGCTAACGCCTTTCTCTGAATCAACGTTCTCCATAATACTTAAGGTTACCGTGCGCCTTCAGGGGTGTCTCGTGTGCAAGCGATCTGTAGCGCGTCCGGTTTAAACTGTAGATATCTACTGAAACCCCTACATCAAATTAAAGCTTATAGGACTGGCTATCAGACTATACCAAAATGTTTCCAAAAAATTAATTGTCGAATTTTTCACGACTTCTAAATGCGAGGGCCCGAATCATCTTTTGAACGTTACATGTACGTTAAAGCGAACTTTGTTTTTCGCTTATTTAATGTGTTCCTCCGTTTCCGGGGCCAAAGCGCTAAAACTTTGGAGACACGTTTTTGTTGTTTGTATGTAAAACTAGTTACTGTCAAAATTTGAGAGCAATCGAACAAATTCCTTTGAGTTGTAGCTCTTGAAAGGTAGTTCGGGCGCTCGCATTTAGAAGTCGTGAAAAATTATTCAAATTTTGGGTATAGTCTGATAGCCAGTCCTAATAGCTTTAATTTTATATGGGGTTTAGATATCTACAGTTTAAACCGGACGCGCTACATGGCTTGTACGCGAGACATCCCTGAAGGTGCACGGTAACCTCAATCAAACATTAGCTTTTAGTTACACAGACCTACGTTAGTTCGACAATTCTTATTCTATAATCTAATGAAAAGGTAGTTTTATGTGAGAAGTATTCTGAGGTGCTAAGTCAATCGGAAAAATAACTACCGTTGCAAAGAAACTAGTGGGAACAGTTAATCGTTGTCAACACTTAAAATCCAGCTTAAGTAATGAATATCCAGTTCCCCTTCGGCCATAACTGTAAATGTTATAACTTATAATTGCGTTACATCATAGCAAAGATCATCAACAGTTCATTCCAATTCCGCTGTTGATAAACACTTCTAAAATACAATTGATTCATCTCTTTCGCTTTTGGAATTTCCAGAAATATCCTTGGGTTTATTTCCATTGTTTTCTTAGTTACATTTCATCTCGCCACGATTACTTCATCAAGCAATCTGTCCCAAAAAAATTTTAAAGATGACGACTTAACTTAGAATGACTCGACTATTGCTTGTCAGTGGAAGATCTAAAGGAAAATCATTTCAAGTAAAGTTCTAGAAAAGCGTGGTACAGGCTACTTTTCTCCCTCTCGATCCTATTAAAGATTATTTTCTTTTTGTTTGTTTGGTGACAGAGTAACCAAATAACGGAATGAAAGGTACGAGTCTAGCTCAGAGCAGAGGCAGCCGTGTTCTGTGTAAGGACAACACACTTCGCGTACTGTCACAAGCTCCATTTTGCATTGAAATTGTTGTTTATAATCGACACACAACCCACTATTCCTTTATTCGAACTGACGATAGACTAAGGCTCGAAAAACCAGTGTAAGCAACTCTCAATGGTGGCTAATTATCATTATCAACTCACAATGGCTTTCTCCACAGAGTCACTTTTTCTGAGGGAGGTAGGGTGGAGTGGGTTACCCGTCCTTGATTGCATGGATAACAATACGGGAAACAAACTAAGGTCTGTCAATCATGGTTTTTAGGCCCATATTTTTAAAATTTTTAACAAAAACTTCTTTTTTTAATAGTTATGGCTGAAGGACGATCAGAAGGTCCCTTTGAAATAGACTACCCAGAGGGTGTCCCGTACAGCCCTTGGAACTTTAACATCTACACCATGTTAACCATTGTTAAAAAGACCTGTTTTGGACATGTCAAGACTAACTTGCATCATTTACTCAATCACCTAATGCCAGGAACAACACAAATGCTTTTAGAGCATAGTAAATCCCTCGAACTGGATAACTGCTTTATAGCAGGTCAAAAATTTGATGGGGAGCGGGTTGGAAGTATGCCAGAAGATGTGCCCATAATTCAACCAATAAGACAACCTATCGACTCGAAAGATGACATTATGAGAGATATTGGCTTTGCGTTCGAATGTGATTATAACCTCTGTTTCAAGGATATCTCCGCAAGCGAAAATCCACGACAGAGAGTTGATTTGGATTCTCCAGAGGAGCAGCTCCAATTGCAAGTCCTTCCTTCGTTGCTTCCTGGCTATGCCCGATTGGCCGTCCCTCCAAATGTGGACTGGTTACCAGGTCTGCAGAGTCTCTGCGTTCAAGATGAAGAAGTCACGTTTTTATCCTCAGAGCTTCTTATTGAACAGATGTACAACGTGTTAACAATCATCACAGCCATATTAAACGTGCACAGAATTAAGAAACACCACAACAACGACAAGCCACACAACGAAGAAGATTGCATATCCCTTGGGGACTACCTCCAGTACGTGGGACAGGCAGGTCCAGCGGTTCACGTGGTCATGTGCATGGGAGATTTGAGTCCCCAAAAAGAGAGGCTCCTTTTCCTCACGGAGGATGTCAGTTTGTCTGTACCTTGTAAAGAATGGCCCAGCTGTGCCAAAGAATGGCCTACGAGGGACAGGCCATTAGGTTGGCCACCACAGGAAGTTATCAAGAAGGTAATACAAGATGGATGCCACATTGTGCCGAAGTTTGACGCGGGAGTAAAAAGCTCACTAACGCTAAGTAACGGTGAAATGGCGGAGGGTGCGGAGGCTAGTAAGTCCCCCCAGACCCAATGGAGGTACTCGTTTTCGTTTGCTGAAAGGACCCTAATGAACTCCATCACAGACGAGCAGAAGATGTGCTACCTTATTTTCAAATATTTATTCTCACGTTACATCAAGCTAGATTCAGTGATCACCACCTACACTGCAAAAACACTCTTTCTGTGGGCCCTGGAAACCGTGCCTGCTAATCAGTGGACCAAAGCAACCGTCGGTGACCGCGTAAAAGACCTGATGGAAGACCTGAGAACCTGCATTAAGAAGAAGCACTGTCCACATTACTTCATCAATGGATCGAACACTCTCCAGCAAATGGACGAAAAAAGCCTTAAAGTTACCTTAGAGAATGGGTTGTCTATGCTGGATGAAGAAATGGCAGAGGCACCAGTTTTGGGCTCAGACACATTCGAAACGTCCTCGGACTTCCCTGTCAACTTCATGTTTACGTACAAATCGTTCTACCCAATCAACGCTTGGCTGGAATCACTGAACGCTCAGATGATGGCGAAACTTGATGCACCGAGTAAAGTTCCCTCAGCGCAGATCCTGGCAGATTTCTTGGACAGCTCGAAAACTCACCCACTTGTGATGACAGAGATTTTAAAATATCTTGTTCTGTCGGATGAAATTTACAAACAGCCTCTACCCGTCCCAGAGTCCCTTCTGAACCACGAAAAGGTTACACAGCTGATCAAATTCTTGGAAAAATCCATCACAACACCAGAGAAGTACAGAGAAAGCATGACGGAACTTGACGTTGAGATCAAGTTTCTTCATTTACAGTTCCGAATAGTCGACGAGCTCCAACAGTTTTTCACAGAAAACCCAAATTTCGCCTTCAGCTTCGAGTCAAGCAAGCTCTGACGAAGACAGATCCGAAGGAGATGAGTGACCTCGAGTTACTGCCACTTTTCGGGATACTGGAGGACGTTCCTACAAATTTTTCCTGAAAACTCTAAGTTTTTCCTGTATAACAGTTACAAAATTGACTGTTAACTCACCCCGAATGGTTAAGATGGGCCATCGGAGAAACCTATAAACTATAATAGCACTGAAACTTTTTCTGGCCAAGTGCGTTTGCGCTTCAAATTTCTTCAATAAGAACAACATAAAATTAGTTGATAATCAATGATAAGTTGAGATATCTTTATTCACATTTCGTTTCAATTATTCCCTTGCTGAGAAAGTTTGTTAAAAGGAACCTTCATTTCATGATAGCGGCAACAAGACGCTAGGCGAGGCTTGTTAGGGACTGTAACCTAGATACAAGAAATTCTCTCGAAGACTTCACGGCTGGTATCAAGGCGGAGGTTTGGTGGAGGTGATACCGCCAATCAGCGACACAAACGCTAAGGACACCTAACCCCAACCGAAGCTCGTATTCGCTACGCCTCTCCAACTCAGGTAGAAGCAATGATGGAAATTTAATGCATAGGGCTGTTCCTCAGCGTTCACGTAAGAGAGAAGTTAGTTATTTTGGTTCCTCATTTGTAAAATGAAATTCTGTTGATTCAAAAAACAGGTATCACGCTTTAAGTCGGCGGGGTATGTGAAAAGAGGACTGGGTAAAGGTTTGAGCTCTAAGCGGGGCGGGTCATTGAGGCCAATGGGCCACTAAGCTAAATTTGCACGTTTTATTCGCATGGAGAGAAAGGATATCAATCAAAGCTTTGAATATGAATAGAAGGCGTTGTTTTCGTATGGAGGACATTGACACTGCAGCGATTACACCCACAAAGGGGCAAATTACCAATCTCTTTCAAGTAGTCACTTTTATTCGATTGATAAGTGCAACACTGTATTTCAGAAAAGTTTTTTGGAAAAAGTTTGCTTATCTACAGAGATGTAAAAAGGCTCCTTTTTCAGAACATGAACCAGGTTCTCGCTCTCAGGAAAAGGAACAAAAAAGCAGGTGCCCCAAACAATGCAGATTAGTGCTTTTCACGCCACATATTTAAAAAGAAGATAGTTTAACTGAACAGCAACATTAAATATCGAATGCTTCCTTAAAATTACATTGTTATGGTTTGAATTCTTATCACTAGGTATTAAATAACGAAATGGGCAATTCAAATCTTTCAGTTACGAACTCTTTCTTTCGCAAACCTCGGTTTTTCGGCCACAATTGACTATCATTATAGAGAATTACTTTAAGTATAAACGCATGTCATTGCTATCTCCAAGGGAGTTGTAGTCCTTGGCCATACAAGAAGGCCTTAGTTATTTCATAAGCTACAAACTGTATTCCAACAAGTGGGGCAACCTTTCGAAAGACACAAACGACATAAATAATGATACCAATCATTTTTCTAAAGTTATACACACAGAATCGATCGTGTGATCTGATCGTTTGGGTGAAAGCAGTCCTGAAAGAACTGTTGTCAGAAAGTGGTAATGATCGCCGTTTCTATAACCCGGGCGGAAGTCATCATCACAGTTTAGTGAGGAGTTTATTTTAAGTACAATTGTTTGGTTTAGATGATTTCGGTTGTAAGAATAAGTGAATGCTCGTAAATTACAATTGGTCGGTTGTTGTACCGCTGTGAAGTTACGTCGTTTTGTTCAGGTTGGTTGGCTACGATAACCTGTGATGTGTCGTGATTGAGAGAAATTTATGAGCTTCTGGTAGCGGCAGGCGGGGGGAGGGGTAGGGATTGGTGCTCCCTTCCACAGACTAAACAGGCATATACCACCCAAAGGAGTCCGTTCTATAGCCGTTTAGATCGGAAAACGGGTGTAAATTTTGGCAACTGTCATCTTATGTCGGTTACGGTTTCCAAGGGAACTACGAGAGAGTGTAAACATATTTGTCTTTTAAAACCGAAGGAATGATAGAAAAATATTAAATCTTTTGCGCTGAATTTAAGTGCATTTAATGCTTGACTGCAGAAATGAAGCGTTACTTAAACCACCAACAATTTTAAGGACCCAAGTCTGATAAGGGTGTGGAAAATGGCATGTTTTGGTCTAAAATAGAGTCACTATCTGGAGAACTGAGTAGCACACCACTACCCAGAATTCCAAAGAGCAATCCTCACTCTCTCCCCCCTTCCATTGGGGTTGTAGTGTTGGCGACTTTGGATTGTTACCTTAAGCAGATTCGGCCACATTCCTTTGTATAAACCTTTGATTCCTTCCACTTGAACAATGGTTGTGAATGCATGCTTGGTAGAAGTGTACGCAAACAGGTCTCCACTTATTCCCTTCATTTGCATTCGCCTACGTACCACATCTAGAGGATAAGTTACTAAAAACACACAAAGTAAAGTAAAGGAATCAGAGAATTGCAGCAGATTCTTATTTTACACCAAAGACTGTCCTGAGAAAAATACATACCTGATTGGCTTGAGAAATACGTGACTGATCAGTTGGAGAAATGCAACTCATTATTTTTTCGTCTTTTCCATCCTTGTTTATTCTTCATGTTTTATTATACCTTTAAAGTTTTCCTCTCTTAGAAAAAGACTTAAATTTGGAGGTCTCTTTCCAGTTGGAGGTACTTTTCACACGGTGCCAAATTTCACTCAAGTTTGTCATTCCCAATCTGTTTTAATCTTCTAAATATCCTAAACCATTCCATCTTAGCTCATAATTACCCACTTTCTGCTTCTATATCTTGCCAAAGTAATACTTTCTGGTCTTTTTCAAAAGTGGAAGGGTTCACCCTCAAATTCCCATGACTGACCAAAGTAGAATTTCTCCTTACAATATGAAAACAACATCAAGCAGACAAGTGATGAGAATACAGAAAAATATAATGTAAGGGGATTATTAGTTGATCCAATACCAAGTTTTCCAAACTAACATCTTATCAATTGCATGGCAGACAGTAAGGAGAATTGCTAATTAATGAGACCTTGAGAGACAAAGAGGTTAAAGATGCAAGTATGACTTTGATTAACTGATTATATGGTGTAGCGCTAGTTAAAGTAATTACAAAGCATACACCAAATGCAAACATGGTGTCCAATTTGAATTGCCATTGTTCTGGACTCACTACCCTCATCTTCCCATGGACGGAAATACATGTGTGAGAGGCTCTAAGTCCAGAGCAATGGCAATTCAAATTGGACACCATATTTGCATTTGATGTATATTGTTACTTCAGATTGGAAACAAAATTCTAAGCTGAATTAACAATTACAAGCTAAGTTATAGTAATACTCACCAGTTTGAGAAATACCTCCTGCCAGTCCCCCACAGATCAGACGAACTACAACAGGTAACTCCCTATCTTTGTCCATTCTTTTGAGCTCTGCTTCCCGCGCTCTCACAATGAAATGCCCCAGGACAAAATCTAAAATGAAAAGTAACAAAATGACTCATTTATCACTGAAATATGTTATTTGTCTCATTGCAACCATGGGACAAAGAAAAAACTGAGAATCCAAAGGTCTGAAGTTTGATACCTTATGAAGGTTAAGATGATCGAATAAAAATGATTGAACAAAAATGTCCTCTTTATTCCCTCATGATCCCAAAAGTTATTATCTTTCTATGATTGTATCGTACTATATATATTTGCTAATGATTCATAACCAATGAAATAACCTGTGTATGAAAAGAGTCTGTAGGTCTGGCTTTTTGCAGAAATCATTCCAAGTCTTGGTGCCAAGAAATTATAATTGCACTGCTGTTAGAAAACCCTCAGACTACAGTACAGACAAGGTAGGTGAAACAAGTACTTGATAACATTACATAGAGTACCTTTCAAAGTTTCATATACAGCAAAATTCAAGCCGATGTAAGGAGCAATTCCCTGGAAAAAATTTGCAAAACTGTGGTATTAAAGGCAGTACACGTTCATAAGTCACAACTTAAACAAATGCATATTGCAATACTTACAGAATAAAGAGCAAAATATTGCATAACTATGTTACATCAAGGTGTGTATTATACAGTACCATGACCGTAGGGGGAAGTCCTTTATAAAGACAACCACTAATAAGTCCTCCTTCATCTTTCAGAATTGTTTGAAATGCATGTAAAATATTCCTGTTATAAATAAATAGACAAATATATAGAATTTGAAATAAATAAATAAACCATTGAGTATAATCTTGTCTGTAATCAGTACAACTGACAGAACCTTTCACCCCTCACATCTCCCTTCAATCAAACATGAAGGTGACAAGAATAAAGGAACTGATCACCAACTACAGATAATCAACAAGTTCTCCTCATCTACACCTTAGGGGATGTATAGGGAACAGTATGGAAAATATGCATACTGATGTTTGGGTGAAAACTAGGGTTTAAGAAAAGATTTGTAATACCTGTATCTTCTTTCTGCCCCTTCACCTTGTGCTGCAAGTCTTGTTCTGTGA